TTACATGAAACCGGAGACATTTCAGTGAGTAAGTTGTACTGCTTCTTTCAGCAGACCTTCTGATGCTCATTCATGTTCATTTCATGCACTAACTGGTAGTAGTAGTAGTAATTATTATTGCCAAGTCAGTTACATAAAAATAAAAACCAAGCAAACACAAAAATACGTGTAGTAACTGGTAGTAAAGAGGACTGTTGAGGATCGCTTGTACTGAGGCACAGAAATTTGTCACGCTATGCTGAAAAGCACCACAACAGTATTTACCATTTGAATTTTAAAATAAAACTACCAGAATTTAAAAGCTATCAGAAGCAACAAAGCACAAAGCTTACTGCGATTTATTAGATGGGATGTGTGCTACAAATTATGTTTTATTAAGTTTTGTTCATCAACTGAAAACAGCACAGATTGAATCTTGGGATTTAGGAATTGGTATCGGTTCATCAAAATGAGAATTGATTCAAATATTTCATCCCAGCCCTACAAGGTATTGTGTCACCTTATACTTTCGTGACAAGTTGACAACATTACCCAGGGTGCATCTCATGAGGTTGGCTGAGAGAAGCCCATAGTGCAGAGCTGGACTCTTTATTCTGTCTATAAAGAATAAGAGTGATCGAACTCTTTCCATATCATTTACATTTGCACAGCTTTTCTCTGTTTCCATGTTTTCTTTGACACAAACAAAACAGGCATTGTGACCCAGAATGAGCCTTAATTACAGCTTGCAGTTCTATGGTTTAATTACGGGTTTAATGGTTAACAACCTTGACTGTTCCCATCATAAAAATCTTCCCAACTCCTGACTCTGTGTTTCCACTGACTGGTCCATTACAAAAGGACTCCAGCCAGAGTGCAAACACTAGCACTTTGCTTTTCTTCAACAGAGAGCACAGACAGCCAAAAGAACCAGAACACACACAAAAGATGTTATTGCGTGTGGAACATCACCATGACCACCACAAATTGAAACTAGCCATGAAGATACACTTTAATATTGCATGTTTTACATTTGGTTAAGAAAATATAAGTGCGACTTGGCCACACAACATTTGCCAGTGTTGCAGCTATGGTATTATGGGTGGTATCTTACTGGGTCAAGTCAAAAAAGCCCACCCTTAAGTCTAGATAAGAGACTAGACAGCCTTAACTTTGTTGTCCATTTTATCATTGACCAGTTAAAAGCCTGATCAGTCCCCCCAAAAAAAGTAGTAACACACCATCGTTCATGCTTTCCCCCATCATTAAAGGGTTAGTTCACCCTTTATCCCTTTTATGCCCAAAGCTAAGAAACCTAAGACTTCAAGGAGTTCTTTCGAAGAGCATTTCCAGTTCAATGTCATTCAGTGGTTGTTGTATAGACAAGGAGTAATTGCTTGTTGTGTTTGGACATACCGACATAATGCAGGTACAGGGCAATATATTTGTACTGGAAGACAGGGTTATTGTTGAGACTGCTCCTCTGGATCTTCTGGAAGAAGGAGCTGACGTCCCAGCGGTACAGCACATCCAGCAGCATGATGCTGGGGATCCGTAGACCCACGTTCAGCACCGCCTCCACACGCGCCTTCATCGCCATGACCAGCAGGGCACCGAAAAGGCCTCAACCTCAACTGAGAGAGAGAAACATGATTTCAAGCAGAGAATAACAGAGCAGTCCTATTGAAATGACACATAGCTTTGTAGCCTTTGAGGAAATAAATCATGAGACACACTCAGACAAGATAAGTTTATATTTGACCAAATAAAATTAATTAGCATAATAATAATAATAATAATAATGTGCATACATACATAGACTTATGTATAGACTCTTCTGCTCATCATGGCTGCATTTATTTGATCAGAAATACAGAAAAAAACTTTAATATTGTGAAATATTATTACAAATTAAAATAATGGATTTCTATATAAATATACTTTAAAATATGCAAAGCTGAATTTTCTGCATCATTACTCCAGTCTTCAGTGTCACATGATCATTCTAATATGCTAATTTATTATCAATATTGGAAACAGTTTTGCTGCTTAATATTTTTTTTTTGGAACCTGTGATACTTTTTTCAGGATTCTTTGATTAATAAAAAGTTAAAAAGAACAGCATTTATTCAAAATAGAAATATTTTGTAACAATATACACAAGTTTGGGGTTAGTATTTTTTTTTCTTTCTTTTGAAATTAATTATTTTAATCAGCAAGGTTGTTAAATTGATAAAAAGTGATAATAAAGACTTATATTGTTGGAAAAGATTACTGCCTTGGAACTTTTAGTTGAGTACACATTTTATATATTTTATAAAAAGTTTTTTGTTGAGTATTTGAAATGTTTATTTGCTAACAAATACAAATAATAATACAAAAATATGATATTATCTCCAAACAAAATCATAATACATCTCTAAAACCATAATAATACTCTATCTTTACGAAACCATGAGAATACGAAGGTACTTTTCGGAAGTGTAAGAACGACACACCTACTTCTCTTCTTACCACCGGACGGAAAAAACCACTACACTTACATAACCATACTGCTTTCTTCAACAATACAGTCAAATAATTGTGCTGTGACGAGAATATAGTGCTGTATTTCTCATATTTAAACTCACGTGGATAAGTTATGGTCATGCCTGTCGTGTTAATCGTGTTTGAACTCTAGTAACCCCGACACATCAACAGTCACACAGTTAAAAAAAAAAGAAAAACAGGACTGAGAAAACTTGAAAATATAAACCTTTTACAGACATAAATATTATAACGTTAGGATAAGTTATGGGCATGCCTGTCGTGTTAATCGTGTTTGAACTCTAGTAACCCCGACACATCAACAGTCACACAGTTAAAAAAAAGAAAAACAGGACTGAGAAAAATTGAAAATATAAACCTTTTACAGACATAAATATTATAACGTTAGGACGACAGAACACAAGTTTAAACGTGAACCAGAACAATAACGGTTGCCTTTCATTGGCTGCGAGGAGTTTGTGCTGACTAAAGTATATCGTCTTAATACTAATAATCCATTAAAGTTTATATTTAACTGCTTTAGAGGTCTTAAAACACAATGTTTTTGAGGTAAATGTGTTAAATACGTAGAGTTCAATTGTTTTTATCTGCCCAGCTAACAGTAGCATTACAGAACTGTGTCCGTTATTCCCTTACAAACGCTTCGATAATTATAATAAAAATAGACTTACATATTGGTTAATCACTTCACGCTGTTAGATTTCGTCTTAGGCTGCGTCTCTGGGTGAATATAAACCATTTTTAACTCAGACGTCTCGACGTTATGGTCAAATTGAAAGCAGAAGAGACGGAGCAACTAAATTCACTTACTCCATCAGACAGCCATTACACACACCGTTTGAGTGTGCACTGCGCATGCGCATTTTTTGAATACCGGAGATTGGCCGCTAGATGGCGCTTGTCTCACATAAATTCTACTATGGCGAAGGCTTGGTTATAATGAATGAATAGTTTTATTGACAACTGAAGTAGAAATGAGACACGCAGTTACTAAGGAGAGAGTGGATGGGTTCGAGGACCGAATTCGGATCTGAGCCTTCGCGGAAGCTTCAAGGTGAATGCAGAGCACCCCAGTTCCACCTCTATGCATTAGACTAGGTCATGAATATTAATGATCATGTTGACGTTCTACGTAATCTTTCTGAAGCGTTGTGACGTATTTAAAACTCATGAGCCAAATATTCGTAAATTTGCTTTCTCGACATATAGCCTAGAAGTTGACAAGTAAATAGTGTAGTGTTCTCTTATGTGTTTTAGACTCTGCTTTTATACTTAATGCAGGACCATTACATATAGTCAGACATTTACATTACATTTACATTTAGTCGTTTAGCAGACGCTTTTGTCTAAAGCGACTTACAAATGAGGACAATGGAAGCAAGCAAAATCAACAAAAGAGCAATGATATGCAAGTGCTATAACAAGTCTCAGTTAGCTTAACGCAGTACACGTAGCAAGGTTTTTTTTTAATAATATAATAAATAAAAAGAAAACAGATAGAGTAGAAAAAGAATAGAGCAAGCTAGTGTTAGAGGCCTTTTTTGCTTTTACTAATTGTATAATAAATGAAAATAAAACAGATAGATTACAAAAAGATTAGGAAGCAAGCGTTAGTTTATTTTTTTTTTTTTTTTAAATAGGAAGGTGAATAAATAGGTGTGAATATGAAGTTCTCAAGTCACCCACAGTAATGTCTCACGAGTGTTTATATATTGTTCTGACGCCGAAGAACCTATAGATGGCACTCGCACACTGTACACTGTTTCAAACAAGACACATTGTTTAATACATGTAAAGTATTGTTAGTATATTTGTGATAAACTGTACACTGTAAAAAATGCTGGGTTAAATACAACCCAGTGCTGGGTTAAATAGGGACAAACCCAGCAATTGGGTTGTTTTGACCCAGCGGTTGGGTTACTACCCAGAAGGTTGGGTTAAACATTTAAACATTTAACCCAACCGCTGGGTCAAAACAACCCAATTGCTGGGTTTGTCCCTATTTAACCCAGCACTGGGTTGTATTTAACCCAGCATTTTTTAGAGTGTAATATTCGATATCTACTATAACTTAATATTGATGTCATATACCGCCGTATTTTGTTGTCCATTATGTTTTAAGGTCTACTAGCAATACTTAAAGGAAATTTAAGATTCGTTTCTCATTCAAAAGTCGTAAAATATTTTATGTCATATAAATAAGAAGCATGCAGTACGTTTAAGCATGCTAATATAACTGACTAAAGCCAAATAAGAAATTAAAAGTACAATAGCATGATGTGTCTTTAGTCCTCTGTATTTAATTTAAACGTTTTAATCTAAACTGTCTCAACGTAACGACATACAGGACGCGTTATGCGTTCCGTCTGAGCTAATTGTCGCTCTATATGTACACATAACAGCAAATATTTGACTGTTCCGTCGCGTTTAGCTGTTTTTTTCCCCCTCAGAGTTGCGTTGTTATTATAGACGTCCTGTCAAGCTAAAAACAGCTGAAGAACGCGTCTCTGCGCCACCCTGTTGCGCTCTTGCGAACGCGTCTAGCGTGAACGCCCCCGGAGAGAGATGCGTTTGTGTGGTCGCTGCCATGTTCACTCTAGTGCACTTGTTACGCGGATGTTGAGGAAGTGGTGGTTAGTGGCACTTGGATGAGTATCATCCGCTCTTGATTTTGCACCGTGAGAAAACGAGTCAAATGCCGCGCTGCTATGGACGCGATCGGCGTATCGCACACGGATCCGCTCGATGACTATGAGCTGATACACCGCATAGGCAGCGGGACATATGGAGATGTGTTTAAGGTAGGAAAACGACAGAAAGTATCTTAGAGAAACGATTTCCTTGAACATTTAGTGCAAGTAAAGCTCTTAGGCACTTGTGTTTGTGCGAGTGATGATGCAAAAATACTATAACCAAAGTTTCCATCCCAAAACCACAGTTACTTCAGTATAAGAGGCTTTCTGATATTGTCTGTATTGGTAAAAGGGATGAGTTGTTGTTATAATCATGCCTTGCTGGTAGCTGGTTTGCTGTTGGTCCAAATGGTCTATCAGCAAAAACACTTTCCAGCATTTGTTATAGTATATTGTATCTTTGTTATATTTGCAACAGTGTTGATTATGCTTCAGACTTGAATATTATATCCTACTTTGTAACATATTATGCATTTGCATTAACATGTTGTAGGAACTAGTATGAATGATGTGTGTACTGTCTGACCATGTTACTCTACTATGACTTCAATTTTCACACCCCATTGACTTTGATGTTCAGTAACGCCCATGTGGCTCTGGCATGTTTAACAGCCTAAAACCATGCGATGTATGCACCTTCCTCATAGAAAAAGTAACCAGGATACTAAACATGAATTTTCCTTGCAAATGGAATTTGTTCCTTTGAATGAACTGAACTGGTCATGGTGGCATACCGTGCAACAGAAATAACAGGGCGTGAAAAATATCTTTTTGCATACAAGGAAGCAAATAATAAAAAGATTCGCAAACACCGTATGCACATTTTGTCTCTTCGAAATGTTTGTGTAGAGGATCTGACGGTGACCTTGTCTGCCCTAATTGGGTGGATTGTCCATTTATATCACCCTGCCTGAACAAACATGAATCATGGCCTTGATAACGGAGAAAGACACATTACAGGATGTGATTTGGTTCAGCAGGAAAGAAAACAGGAAATGAGCACTGCTACGTTTTTTTCATCTCTACTTCACCTTTCCAGTGTCTGTTGATCCACTATTGGCTGCTGGTTACCATGGTTACAGGCAGACAGCTTCATTTTTCTGTCTTGCGTAGACCACAGAGGCACACAATGTGGTTCGTATGATGGTTTTCAGTGAAGGCAGACGGGTTTTTTTTCTTGCTGTTGTCGCTCTTTTTAAGGGAAATCCTTGTGATACAATCACAGTTCTTTCGCTGTTAAAGGGGTCATATGATGCGATTTCAATTTTTCCTTTCGCTTTGGAGTGTTACAAGCTCTTGGTGCATAAAGAAGATCTGTAAAGTTGCAAAGACTAAAGTCCAGACATGGTTTTACGTTTATGCGGCAAAAGACAGTATAAGTCATTATAATCCATAATTATGTCCCCACTGGATGCAGCGAATGCCTCGTTTATAATGGGTTTTCATGTTTTTGAGTCATCGCTCCGGCTGGACAGGGCATCACAGTATGGTAAGGGGCGTAACATTTCCGTCACACGCTTGAGGTATTCGGCCAATCATAACGCACTGGATAGCTGGCCAATCACAGCACACCTTGCTTTTCAGACCGATTTCAGACAGGCGGGGCATAGAGGAGAAACAATAATGTACAGTATGTGGAAAATAATGTGTTTTTTGAACCTTAAACCGCATAAACACATTTCATTACACCAAATACACAAAATAATGTTCTTTTTAGCAACATCATATGACCCCTTTAATATAGTATAAAGCCTTTGAAAGGTATAACTGAAACCCGTCAGACTTGAAAGAGGTAGCGTGCATTTGTGAATGTATTAAAATACTTTTTTGTGATCCAGTACAACCGCAAAAACAATGCAGAAACTTGAAGCACTGGAACTTGAAAGTGGCGTGACAATAAATTTTGTGGTGGCTTGATACAAGCGATCTTTCAAAAGAACCAGGAGGACATTTTTCATTAACTGACTGATGCAAAGGTCTGATGTCATCATGTATTGCTTATTTGCTATTAAATTCATCTGCATAAACCACCAGTTTGTTTCTCTGTCCTTATAGGCCCGTAGCATTAAGACTTCAGTCATCGCAGCTATTAAAGTGGTCAAACTGGACCATGGTAAGGTCATAAACCATTTTTAATCAAATGTTCTTATTTGCATTTTACTGATATGATGCACACTATGTATTGACCTTTTCAGTAGATGTGGTTAGAATCGGAATTCAGAATCAGAATTAGCTTTATTCGCCAAGGAAGTTAGTGTTATGTAAAGAGGCTAAAGTTAAGTCATATATCTCATAACTGAATTTTATGAGATGTGAACAAGGTTGATATTAAATATGTTCTATGCAATATTTAGTCAAAATCTTTCTTTATCTAGCAACTTTTGCCATGTTACCGTGGGTCACTAATATGTCAAAATTATATGTTACAGTAGTTCTTTGCTGTCTGAGCTTCCGAACTTCGACATATATTTAGATTTTAAATTGAAAATGATTGAGAAAGGCTTGTGGTTGCAACTTTTATGTATTTTGAATATATTCAAAGATACCCAGAATATCATATTTTATTCTGTAAATTCAGTTTGATGCTGAATTCTTCACTGCAGCATCTGAATTTTAGCTCAGTCGTTTAATCCCTGTAAATCCTGCTGTTATGTTGAGGAGAAGCAGAATCAGACAAGATTACAGACGAGACCCCTGTTTCTTTTTCTGTCAGGTGATGACATTTCAAGCATTCAACATGAGATAACCATGATGAAAGATTGCACTCACAAAAACATTGTGGCCTATTTCGGTAGCTACCTCAGGTCAGTCATGCAAGAAACTAATATTGCAGAAAGTAACAGTTTGCAGAAAACTGAAGTAAAACTAACAACAAACTTCTTCATATTGCACAGAAATAACAAGTTATGGATCTGCATGGAATTCTGTGGAGGAGGATCATTGCAGGATATTTACCATGGTACAATTCAAAGATTGACATTTATAATAATAATTAATATGATACATTATTGCATATCATTTCAGTTATTGTACATAGATGTTATAGGTCATTATTGACCCTGCAAGTAGGTAGCCAATTATTATATATCAATCTTTTTTTGTTGTTGTTTAACAATTGATTGGATAAAAAAAGCTGAGGCTGTGATGTTTATTTGTTTCAAAAGCAAGCCCTCCTATATGTTGTTTCCGTAAGAAGGGTGATGCAGATTGAAATGGTTTCTGTTGTTATTTATATTGGCTGATAGAGGATTAATGCACAAATGGTATTTTGTGAGTCTAAATGAGGTCATTGTGTTTCTGCAGTCACTGGTCCTCTGAAAGAGAGACAAATAGCTTATGTGAGCAGAGAAACACTTCAGGTGAGGATGCTTTCACATCTTACATAATGTTTCTATCACTTAATGCTGAGTTCACGCTGCACGATTTTCAAAGACGTCGCATCACTGTTGCGTTCACACTGAACGACTATCTGGGGTAGCATCCAGTTGTTGCTGTAGCCAGCCTCTAGCGGCCAGTCGATGAATTGCAGTTTAAGTCACTTCCTTGTTGGCTTCACGAGAGAGAGCGGGAGGTTGCCGCTTGCTCAAAACTAGCCTGAAAATAGCCCAATTACTTTCGAGGGGGTCCCCCAGTAACAAATCGCGTTTGGGGGGTAAAATACACATTTTTTTTGGTGGGGTTCTCCTGGTACAATTAACATTCCAGGGCCTAAATATCACGTTATTGGGGTTGCTTCAACCTGCTGACATGAAAAACAACCGGCGGCAATCGCGGATTTGGCAACACTGGTCCGCAAACTACGTTTCATATAACTCCTCCCCGAACTTCCCGCTGCCCTGTATCGTGCTCTCTCATTGGCTGTAGGTCATCGCCGATGTGTTTTTCAGTCAGAACTAATTTCACATAGCGTGATTGTCACTCGTGTGAACGAGCACCGATTTGCCTCCGATTTCAGGCATTTGTCGGCGATTTCGCAAAACCTGTCGGCGAGTGAAAAATCGGGCTAAAATCGTGCAGTGTGAACTCGGCATAAGGTTCACGAGGCAATAGGAAGGGATTTCAATTGTTATTTTTAAATTATTCTAGTCATTTTGTTGTTGTTGTTGTCTTTCCTTAAAGGGACAGTTCACCCAAAACATAGCATTCTGACATCATTTACTCACCCTCATGTTGTTCCAAACCTATATGAATTTTCTTTCTTCTGCTAAACACAAAAGAAGATATTTCGAAGAATGTCGGTAACCAAACAGTTGCTGGTCCTCACTGACTTCCATAATATGGATTAAAAAAAATACTATGGAAGTCAATGGGGACCAGAAACTGTGTGGTTACCAAACATTCTTTTTTGAGACTACAATGTTGTTTGGTTCCCATTCTTCGAAGGGAGCTAAAAGCGGCACAAACCCTGCAATGCGGTGCCAAAGGTGTACAATGTTACAACAATATAGAGCTAGAATTTTGTGGCGAGTTGTTTAGCAACAGACAGTCGATCATAAACGAAACAATGCTCCCCTCGTTAAATATTCATGTACAGTCACAGAAACTTCCACATGCTGTGTTTAGTTTCTGCATCTGAGGGACACTGTTAAAGTAAATAGCAATTGCATCAGTTATAGCGATGATAATTTGATTTACGGTGAGACATTTCTAAAAAGGGTGCATGCTCATTGCATGCTTGCTGTACTTTCCCAGCCAGTGTTATTAACTTAATTATTAATTATTTATCCAAAGTAAATCTTCAATATCACTATAATATAAAATATTAAATTATAGTAATTTAAGAAAAACTTACTTTTTTTTTTTTTTTTACTTTTAAAAAAACACTTTTTTTAAAAATCCATAATTTTCCAAATGCATTTTTCATACCGTGAATTATAATGTGTAATGTAAATACACTTTTAACATTTCAAATTATTCATTTTAGTTTTTGATGTTTTAAGTTTATAATTTAAATAAAACTTAAAACAGAATTTTAATATCAGCCATTTATTGGTTATCGCTCTTATTTGTATCAGACAAAATATAAAAGTTCAGATGTAACAGCAATAGTGGCAGATCTTTTTTCTGTATTGTAACTTAGTGCCATATAAAACTGACAAGGATGGGGTTCTATTCACCAGTTGTTGTTTGGACAGCGAATTCTTATAAACATGCAAATAAAAGTGTTAACCTTTTCAAATGTACAGTGTGAAATCTTAATACCTTTCTACCCAGGAATAATTATTAATCAGGGTTAGAAAGGTTAAAAATTACACTAGGTTAATCATTTCATATGTGTAAAGCCCATTTATGATGTATTTTTCACAATTGTTTTCTGTTTACAGGGTCTACATCATCTCCATCAAGCGGGAAAAATGCATAGAGACATAAAAGTAATTTTACAAGCCATTATTGCATATATCCATGTTGCCACATAGTGTTTGATATACATTATTAGAGTTCATCTGTATATGAGTGAGTTTCTTTATAGGACAATAATGCATGTAAGATGATACCGTGGATGTGCTCATTGTGTCCTTCTTGGTTGCCCACAGGGTGCCAACATCCTCTTGACAGAGCGAGGAGATGTCAAACTAGGTCAGTCTGGGTTTACCCCTGTCTCAGGCCCTCACATGTAAACACACTTATGCATGTATTAATTAATACACCATAAATCTCTTCAATGTGGGCTTTTGTCTCCCCTCTGTCTGTCAGCGGATTTTGGAGAGTACTTTTACTTTTACTGGAGTAATATTTTATTATACGTATCTATACTTTTACTCAAGTACTTGATTTGTGTACTTCGTCCACCACTGCTGGTGAGTCACCAAGATTGTAAACACTGCTATTTAATTACATTTTTTATTTTTACAGTACCGTTCAAAAGATTGGGATCAGTAAGACTGCACTTATTTGATTAAAAATACAGTGGAAACCATAATATAAAATATTATTACAATTTAAAATAACTTTTTTCTACTTTAATATATTTTCAAATGTAATTTATATTTATTCTAATATGCTGATTTGCTGCTCAAGAAACATCTCTTATTATTATCACAGTTGAAAATGGTTGAGCTGCTTAATATGTTTGTGTAAACAATGATATATTGTTTTCAGGATTCTTTTTTAACATTATAAATGTCTTAACTTTTGATCAATTTAATGAATTCATCTTTTCTGAATAAAAATATTAATTTCTTTAAAGGGGTGGTTCACTGCAATTTCACTTTTTTAACGTTAGTGTGTAATGTTGCTGTTTGAGCATAAACAATATCTGCAAAGTTATGAAGCTGAAAGTTCAATG